ACAACGTTTTATATAGAAAACTTGTTCGATAACAACGTTTTCTATAGAAAACTTGTTCGATAACAACGTTTGCTATAGAAAACTTGTTCGATAACAATGTTTTCTATACAAAACTTTTTCGATAACATCGTTTTCTATAGAAAACTTGTTCGATAACAATGTTTTCTACAGAAAACTTGTTCGATAAAACGTTTTCCACAGAAAACTTGTTCGATAACAACATTTTCTATAGAAAACTTGTTCGATAAAAACGTTTTCCACAGAAAACTTGTTCGATAACAACGTTTTCTATAGAAAACTTGTTCGATAATAACGTTTTCTATAGGAAACGTGATCGATAACAAAGTTTTCTATAAGAAACCTGATCGATAACAACGTTTTCCATAGAAAACTTGTTCGAAACAACGTTTTCTATAGAAAACTTGTTCGATAACAACGTTTTCTATAGAAAACTTGTTCGATAACAACGTTTTCTATAGACAACTTGTTCGATAACAACGTTTTCTATAGAAAACTTGTTCGATAACAACGTTTTCTATAGAAAACTTGTTCGATTACAACATTTTCTATAGAAAACTTGTTCGATAACAACGTTTTCTATAGAAAACTTGTTCGATAACAACGTTTTCTATAGAAAAGTTGTTCGATAACAACGTTTTCTATAGAAAAGTTGTTCGATAACAACGTTTTCTATAGAAAAGTTGTTCGATAACAACGTTTTCTATAGCAAACTTGTTCGATAACAACGTTTTCTTTAGAAAATTTGTTCGATAACAACATTTTCTATAGAAAACTTGTTCGATAACAACGTTTTCCATAGAAAACTTGTTCGATAACAACGTTTTATATAGAAAACTTGTTCGATAACAACGTTTTCTATAGAAAACTTGTTCGACAACAACGTTTGCTATAGAAAACTTGTTCGATAACAATGTTTTCTATACAAAACTTTTTCGATAACATCGTTTTCTATAGAAAACTTGTTCGATAACAATGTTTTCTACAGAAAACTTGTTCGATAACAACGTTTTCCACAGAAAACTTGTTCGATAACAACATTTTCTATAGAAAACTTGTTCGATAAAAACGTTTTCCACAGAAAACTTGTTCGATAACAACTTTTTCTATAGAAAACTTGTTCGAAAACATCGTTTTCTATAGAAAACTTGTTCGAAAACATCGTTTTCTAAAGAAAACTTGTTCGATAACAACGTATTTTATAGAAAACTTTTTCGATAACAATGTTTTCTACAGAATACTTGTTCGATAATAATGTATTATACAGAAAAAAAATGTTCGATAACAATGCTTTCTATAGAAAAATTGTTCGATAACAATGTCTTCTATAGAAAATTGGTTCGATAAAAATGTTTTCTATAAAAAAAACTTGTTCGACAAGAATGTTTTCTATACAAAACTTTTTCGATAACATCGTTTTCTATAGAAAACTTGTTCGATAACAACGTTTTCCATAGAAAACTGGTGCGATAACAACGTTTTCTATAGAAAACTTTTTCGATAACAAGCTTTTCTATAGAAAACTTGATCGATAACCAGGTTTTATATTGAAATTTTGTCGGAAAACAACGTTTTCTATGGGAAACTAGTTCGATAACAATGTTTTCTGCGGTAAAATTATTCTATACAAAATATTTTCGATAGCAAGGCTTTTCATAATCACCCTGTGATTCGATAATAACGTTTCATTACAAAACAAGAATCTATAAAATGTTCTTGTTCCATCACGAAATGCCTATTCATTCCAAATGTCCTTTTCTATGTTAACCTCTATTCTTTCCACCCAGCCATTGTAATAACCCCTTGAATTTTGAATATGAATGGAGGACAGAAAAAAGTTCATTTCATGTCACACTTTATTTCATTTACAATAATTACGACACTCTTCGGCGCGGCAGCTTCAAAACTTTTTCAACACAAACGCAAAACATTCAAATTGGATAACAAAAACCTTGAAATCCTACAAAAAGAGTGGAGGAGTGGCGTGGGTGCTGGTGGTAGCAACTGAAGCGAACGAGAAACGGACGTTAGTCGTCTCGTCGTACTTGAAATAGAAAGAGTTGAATTGTTCAGATGTGAAATATGTTGTTGTCGTTGTCGTTTGATGTCGCCATAGATCCGCTGCGGCAGCAACAAACAACTACAACAAAAAAATAAGGTTAGCTTCAACTAACCGGGTGAAAATAACTAAAGCAAGACAATATATTACAAACACAAACTATATGTTTCGAGCGGAAATGGCAACAACCACATGTTGTTTTTGTTGTTGTTGTGGTTGTTATTGCCAGGGCAATGGAAAGAGCCACAAAAACACCTAATGTTTTTATGCTCCTTTGCCAGTTTTGATAGTCGGGGGAGGTGGACTATTATAAAAGATATGATGCAGGTGGTGGTAGATTGGACGAAACTTTATTTACTTTTTTGTTATCGAGTTAAGGTTTAAGAGAAATTGTAGTTTGTGTTGCATATCGGTTGGTGGCTTTACCTTGAATCCTTGATAGTGTTATAAAAAATGTGTTTTGTATGCAGTTTGTGTTGCAGGGCTTCGGAAAGTTTGTTCTTCTTTTTCTTCTATGGCTGCTTGTGGTCTGCATTTAATTGCCCGTGGAAGCAAGTGGCGCCCAATATGGGTGGTGTTGTGGTTACTCAATGTTTTTATTTCTCTTTGAAATTTAATTATTTATTATTATCGATGGAAAAAAGTTGTTCGATTATAACAATTTTTATAAAGCAGTTGTCGGACAATAGTGTTTCCTATAGAAAACTAGTTCCACAACAATGTTTTCTATGGAATACTTGTCCGATAACAATGTTTTCTATAGAAAACTTGTCGATAACAACATTTTCTATGGAAAACTTTTTCGATAACAACGTTTCCTATGAAACACGTTTTCGATAACAATGTTTTCTAAGAAAAACTTGTTCGATAGTAATGATTTCTATAGAAAAATAGTTCGATAACAATGTTTTGTATGGAACTTGTTCGATAACAATGTGTTCTCGATGTTCTCTCTACCGATAACAAATGTTTCTTGTTCGATAACGTTGTTTTCGGAAGACAATTTGTTCGATAACAATATAGAAAAATTCTAGAGAAAACTTTTTCGATAAGAATATTTTCTATATAAAACATGTTCGATAACAACGTTTTCTATAGAAAAATTGTTCGATAATAACGTTTTCTATAGAAAACTTGTTCGATAACCACGTTTTCTATAGAAATCTTGTTCGATGACAATGTTTTCGATAGAAAACTTGTTCGATAACAATGTTTTCTATAGAAAACTTGTTCGATAACAATGTTTTCTATAGAAAACTTGTTCGATGACAATGTTTTCTCTAGAAAACTTGTTCGATGACAATGTTTTCTCTAGAAAACTTGTTCGATGACAGTGTTTTCTATAGAAAACTTGTTCGATAACAATGTTTTCTATAGAAAACTTGTTCGATGACAATGTTTTCTCTAGAAAACTTGTTCGATGACAATGTTTTCTCTAGAAAACTTGTTCGATGACAATGTTTTCTCTAGAAAACTTGTTCGATAACAATGTTTTCTATAGAAAACTTTTCAATAACAACGTATTCTATAGAAAACTTGTTCGATAACAATGTTTTCTATAGAAAACTTTTCGATAACAATGTTTTCTATAGAAAACTAGTTCGATAACAATGTATTCTACAGAAAACTTGTTCGATAACAATGTTTTCTAAAGAAAACTTTTCGATAACAATGTTTTCTATAGAAAACTAGTTCGATAACAATGTTTTCTATAGAAAACTTGTTCGATGACAATGTTTTCTATAGAAAACCTGTTCGATAACAATGTTTTCTATAGAAAGCGTGTTCGATAACAATGTTTTCTATAGAAAGCGTGTTCGATAACAATGTTTTCTATAGAAAACTTGTTCGATAACAATGTTTTCTATAGAAAACTTGTTCGGTAACAATGTTTTCTATAGAAAACTTGTTCGATAACAAAGTTTTCTATAGAACATTTTGTCCGATCACAATTTTTTCTATAGAAAATTTGTCCGATCACAATTTTTTTCTATAGAAAATTTGTCCGATCACAATGTTTTCTATAGAAAATTTGTCCGATCACAATGTTTTCTATAGAAAATTTGTCCGATCACAATGTTTTCTATAGAAAATTTGTCCGATCACAATGTTTTCTATAGAAAATTGGTCCGATCACAATGTTTTCTATAGAAAACTTGTCCGATAACAATGTTTTCTATAGAAAATTTGTCCGATCACTATGTTTTCTATAGAAAATTATAGAAAACATGTTAGATAACAATGGTTTCTAGAGAAAACTTGTTCGATAACAACGTTTTCGATAGAAATCTTGTTCGATGACAATTTTTTCTACGGATAATTAGCTTGATAAATTTTTTTTTAGAGAAAACTTGTTCGATAGCAATTTTTTCTATAGAAAACTTGTCCAATAACAATGTTTTCTATAGAAATTTTGTCCGATCACTATGTTTTCTATAGAAAACATGTTAGATAACAATGTTTTCTATTGAAGACTAGGTCGATAACAATTTTATCTGTGGAAAACTTGTTCGATAACAATGTTTGTTATAGAAAACTTGTTCGATAACAATGTTTTCTACAAGAAACTTGTTCGATAATTATGTTTTCTATGCAAAACTTGTTCGATAACAATGTTCGATAATAATATTTTAGTCTCTCAAACATATTTCATTTCAAAGTTTCTTAATAACAACATTTTAACATTACCCTTAACAATTTTGATGTAACCCAATATTGTTTAGATATTTTGCACCGCACTTGCCGTAGTTGTTTTTAATTAAATTCTTAAAAAAATACCATCAAAGCTGTGACGGAGATGCAACTAGAAAAAGAAGAAGAATGCACCTCGTGTCACAGTTTATAATGGCAACTATTCCCATTTCGCCGAAGCTTATAAAGTTTTCTAATTAAAAATTCTTTTCTATCTTTTTTTCACTTCCAGCCGAGTCACTTTGCCATTAACTGTTGAGGAGGTACGTATTGATATCATGTTAGAAAAACAAAAAAAGAAAAACCCCCACTCCTACCACTCTTGTTGTTGGGCCCAAACACCATCCATTTTATGTATAGATTGAATCACAACATCAAAAAAAAAAAAATCAGAATTGAAAACAATTAAACGTGCTCCAAACCTCCCCTGAAAAAGGGGCGAACAATCAGATAAACGAACAAAATGATGAGACTGCAGCGGATGCGGATACAATTGCGACAACAAAATGACATTAACCGACATTACTCGTGTCGCTGCTCTACACACAACAAGTGCTTGCTACCACATTTGAGTACAAAGTAGGCCATTAAATAGTCAAGACATGTATGATGGACCCAGGTGTGGTCGTGGGTATGTACCTGTGTGTGTGTGATGCCTACAATGATGCTCCAAATTAAAACCAACTTGTCACCACTTGAAGTACAACATGCCAGCCAACAACAAGGTTGCCTGTCCAAAGTGTTTTAAATTATTCATACGATGGGATTTTTCTCATTTGTCAATGATTTATCTTCAATGGTGATATCATGCGGCAGCAATGTGGAAATCCCAAAATGAATTTCAGATATTTGTGCAAACGGATCTTTTGTCACAAAAACGTGTGTTCGAAAAACGCCTATACTATATTTTTTCCAAGTGAAATGGAGTTCACCAATGTTCCTTTATCAAAACTTCTTTAGGGATAACTTTTTTCTACGAAAAGGTGTGGTTCCGCAACAACTTTTCTATATAAACAACTTTTCTATACGAAAAGATGTTGTTAGGCAACAAATGGTGTTGTTGAACAACATCTTCTCAATACGAGAAAGTGTTCAACAACATCTTTTTGTCTAATATCCTTTGGGTCATTGTCATCTCTCAATTGTTTTCATAGAAAACATTAATCCCAAACCATCCAATGGATGTCAAATTTGAAATCCCTTTGTTTTAGCTTAAAATCCTCTTAACATGGCTTTGTAATAAAATTTAACAACCTACACCGAACAATGATGACATTTTGGGAAATGTAAACACTTTTCGTCCTGTTCGAAGCCCACGTGGCAAACGAAGCCTACACCGTTTACACATAACACGTGTTACTCTCTATGGCCTACACGTTTCATTGCCCCTAACACCCATACACATAGTAACTCACATACATAGCTCCGAATGTACATTGATTGTGCGTGTCCAGTTTGTGGTTTGAAATCGTTCAATCAACAATTGCAGAATGTGGGGGAGAAGCAACCAACCAACTAACTGTCTAACCTAACTGGGGGTGATTTAAACCCACACAGTTATGCCATACTTAGAAGTGGAATTGTTGTCTGACCTCCGAGAGTGGTGGGGTCCTTTTAAATATCTACTCCTGCTCTTCCTGTCTCTCTGGCCACCCTAAGGGGCCATTTGTTGTCTTGCAATTGAAAGTGCTTTAATTGATTTCGTTTTGTTCCTTTGTGGGTCGACAAGAGTGTGTGTGTGTGTGTGTGAGTGTTTTTATTGCATTCAAACCTAAACAAATGAAAATGTCCAAGTTTAATTGATTTTCTTGTCGCATTGTCGTGTCCATTTCTTAAACAATATTTAATTACTTTTTCTTTTTTTCACTCTCTCTCTCCCTCTTGTTTTCTTTTCATGTTGCTAACCCCTAACCTCAATTGTGGGGCTACACAATATTTCTATTTATCTCCTGGCCATCCATTCATCCATCCGTCCATCCATCAATAGTACCAAGTTGCACAACTGTATTCCGTGGCGGAGGCATCTAAAAATGAAACGGGCGGTGGTGAAGGTATTGAAGTAATAAAAAATGAACCCTTTACCGATCATCCATTGTTGGGTAAGTTGTTGTAAATTGTAAATGTTTTATTTTGAAATTCGATTAATATTGTGTTTTGTTTGTGTCCCATTTCAGGTGGCAAATATAGTTCCGGTCAGTATACATATAAAATTTATCATTTGGCTTCAAAAGTCCCAGCATTTATAAGAATATTGGCACCCAAAGGATCTCTGGAGATTCACGAAGAGGCATGGAATGCCTATCCATATTGTAAAACAGTCATTACGGTATGTTGTCGGGGGAGATATTTTCCATATCCCCATTGTCATCAAAAATGCAGAGAATTATTTTTCCTATTCCTAATGGAAGGTTATAAAATCATAATTTGTTTTACATAGATTTGGTGGTGTGGTGGATGAGAGGTCTTAAAGTAATTATCCACCAAGAATGTCTCTTCAATTTTGAGTCCGTTTTTAGATTTACAATGCTATTATTAACCATTAATTCCTGTCACGTTTGTATGTTCGTGTTCTGGCAAGTGGCTCTTGGATCCATAGAGTATTGTTTTACCCACTAAGATCCAGGAACAGAAGAAGCGACTGCTCACTTTATTTCACGAACACCTTCGGCTTCCCTTTCTAGAACTTGTAGATTTAGACAGTGGCAGAGCAAATGTTCGACCGTTTCTGAGTCTGTAGTTGTTGTAACATCCTCAAAATTTTGTTCGAATTCTGCTAATCCTGTTCTAAGTGCAAGTTCAAAAATGTGGCTACTTTTACGGGCTATAACTAGAGGTCTTCTGGAGTGAGTGGGGTAGGTTCGCCAGGGCAAATAAAGAGATGCAGCCTGAATCATCCGCCGGGCAGACGTTTCGCACATCTTTGGCAATTCGTGCCCAATACAAATTGAGACGATTGCACCATAATTGCGCCAAAACTAGCCTGGTTTGTCTAGACAGATGACGTTCTTCAGCTGCAATGAATTGGGGTGGACTCCGAGGACGGCATTCATTCTATAATAATCTGTGACTGGTTTGGTATAAATGCCTTTCTGCCTAATAGGTTTCTTGATCTAGAGGCTCTGACTTATAGCTACGCCGTTGGTCATGTATTTCCTTCCTGACACGCCCGGGGGGAGAGTTGTTTTGAGGGTTTGAATGACTCCCGCGATTACACTCAAGCAGGTACTTCACTGACGTACAGAAAGGACCTTCGACTCCTCATGTAGATGGTCCACTGGTGCCATGGGGCGGAGGCACCCTGTCGCAATTCTCAAGGCAGCATTATTGCAGGTCTGGATATTCTTCCACGGCGTAGCATTTATATTCGTAGACTTAAGGTCGCACAGCTGACCGCAGACCGTATTATCGCGTTTTAAGGGGTTGACAAGGCCTTCATGTCCGCAGCCCAAGTGCTAGCGCTTTGAGGACCTTGCTCCTACTTTTCATATATTCTTCCACTGCGAAGCACTCATATTTGCAGACTCAGGTCGCATAGCTGACAACTGGCCGACTTATCGCGTTATAAGAGGTTAACAAGGTATCCATGTCCGCAACCAAAGCCATATACGCAGGTACTTCACTGTCGTACAGGAAGGACCTTCGTCTCCTCATACAGATGGTCCACTGGTGCCATGGGGAGAAGACATTCTGTCGCAATACCCAGGGAAGCATTATTGCAGTTCTGGATATTCTTAAAGGGCGTAGCATTTATATTAGTAGACCTGAGGTCGCACAGCTGACCGCAGACCGTATTATCGCGTTTTAAGGGGTTGATAAGGCCTTCATGTCCGCAGCCCAAGTGCTAGCGCTTTGGGGACCTTGTTCCTACTTTCCATATATTCTTCCACTGCGAAGCACTTATATTTGCAGACTAAGGTCGCATAGGTGACAACTGGCCGACTTATCGCGTTATAAGAGATTAACAAGGTATCCATGTCCGCAGCCCAAGCTACATACGCAGGTACTTCACTGACGTACAGGAAGGACCTTCGCCTCCTCATGTAGATGGTCCACTGGTGCCATGGGGAAGGAGGCATCCTGTCACAATACTCAGGGAAGCATTATTGCAGGTCTGGATATTCTTCCACGGTGTAGCATTTATATTAGTAGACCTGAGGTCGCACAGCTGACCGCAGACCGTATTATCGCGTTTTAAGGGGTTGACAAGGCCTTCATGTCCGCAGCCCAAGTGCTAGCGCCTTGAGGACCTTGTTCCTACTTTTCATTTTGGCCGCAGATAACTGTGGATTGTATGGACCGCTTGTACATGCTGTCGAGTGTGGCCCCTAGGATCTTGGGGTTGTTGGTGGTCGGTGGCCTTTAATAGTCAGCGTCGATGTAGACTCAGCTGGAAGTCATGACCCTTATGTTCAAGTGACCTGTTATGTTTTTCACCATAATTTTGGCTATATTTTCTTCGAGAGCCAGTTTTGTTGGGCCTTCCAAGAGTAATATTTCTTTATCTATCGAATAGTGTAGCATATATGTGGAGGAGTTGTAAAAGAAGTTCCTAATGTTTAGGCTACCGCAAAAGACTCCTGCATTTTTTCTACTTTCTATCTTGGAACCATCAGCATATATAGCTACTATCATGCTGCTATGGGCTTATATGCGAAATAAAGACTTCAAATCTTCTATCGAAAATGTGTCATGGAAAGAAGGAAGGAGACGTAAACCCGTTAAATTGTTTGTGATTTCCAAAAGATGATGTGAAAGGACTCAAGATTATAGGACTATAGCTAAGGACCGAAGTCTGTAGAACGATAGTCAAAAAAAACGGTAACCTTAGGGTCGGTGAAAGTAGTCATATAATTCCTGGTCGGAGAACGGTAGTCTGAATAATAGGAGACAAAATTCAAGTTTAAAATATGTGTTAATAGAGAGTAGTCTAAGGGAGCTTTAAAGGGCAGTAGACTAAAGGACGAACAATTAGGAAATTCCAGTTTACATGTAATTTGTCAAAGGACGGTACTCTCAAGGATGATACTCTAAAGGACGGTAGTCTAAATGACGCTAGTCTAAGATTTAAGCTTTTTTTATAGAGACTAAAGGACGATATTTTAAAGCATGATAGTCAAGTGCCATAAGTCTAAGGATGGAAGTCTAAAAAATAACCCCCCCCAAAAAGACCTTAGTCTAAAGGACGATACTCTTAAGAACGGTAGTCAAAAGGGCGGTATTCTAAGGACGGTAGTCCTAAGAAGATAGTCCAAATGACTATAATCTAAAGGCTTGTAGTCTAAAAGATGATAGCCTAAACGACCGTGGTCTGAATAGCCGTTTTCTAAAGGACGGCTTTAGACCAAAGTACGATAGTCTAAAAGACGATACTCTAAAAGATGATGGTATTAAAAACCAGCCTAAAGAAGGCCTTTCCGTGAACATCTCATATTAGAAAACTGAAATAGCTGGTTTGTCGGAAATTTAACAAGCGTAACAACTTTTCAAGGTATTCCAATACAGATTTATAAACGAAAGTAAAACCTTCGATAATTGTCTCACGGGACATTTTGGTTGTCTTCCTATTTCTCAGGCTGATATCCATCTCTTCGCAAAGCAAACCAATGCCAGCGACCATTTATTTCCCTTCTTAAAGATAATGAGAGTATGGTATGACTTGAACCCATTTCACATTTTCGATACGATAGCAAGTGTTTTGGAGTCTAAAACAGGAGATATTTAATTTCAAACTTTTATTTTATGTCCGACTTTGGCCCATTAATAATCCGTTTCATTTTCGATGTATTGCCGTTCAAAGTTTGCTCCAATTTAATAAAAATTTTTACTTTTTTACCTCTAACTACACCACCTAATCTCACTTTTTCTCAATTGTAATACCAGGATTTAAAAAGTGTGAACATGAAACCCATTCTATTATGACAACTATTTTTAATCCCTTTTCCTTTCCCAAAATTATGTTTGTTTATAGAATCCTAAGTTTATGAAAGATGGCTTTAAAGTTATTATAGATTCTCTGCATTTAGCCGATCTAGGAGAGTCTGAAAATGTAAGTTAACAAAGGATACTAAATGTAATTAATGGTGTGTCTTTTTTCTCTCTCTTTTTCTTGTTCTTTTATTTCTTGTATTTGGTATTAATTCGCATAATCGTAATTAATTTAATAAAAAAAAATGCTTACGTACATCATGAAAAAAATCATTAAACATGGTGTTGGATTACTATTAATATTAAATATTTATGTGTGTGTGTGCGTGTAATTGAAATATATTTGTAATAATATGTTTTAAAATTAATTAATCTCTATATGTCTTTTATTTGGAATTAATAATTAATGCTTTAACTAACTGGCGATTAAACAAAATTATTTTCTTCCCCATCGATTGTGATGTAATATTATTGTAAATGTAAATTTAATTCCATTAATTAAAAAAATAAATTTGTTTAAAAAAAAACCCGTCGTCATATAACCAGAATCCTGGTTATATGAAAGATAATTTTATCATAATCATTGAATCTCATCACATTGCTGATATAGGCGACCAGGAAAATGTGAGTCATTTTCTTTGTTTAAAACTTACTAATATTTATTGCGTGTGTGTGGAGACACAACGAATAATGGGTGAAGTGAGTCCAAAGATGTTTTTGTTAGAAATTAAAAAAAAAAATAATAATTTGTATTTATTTTTAAATTCAATCAAATTCCTGCAGTGTTTCCTTTTTTTATGCCCTCAGCCATATGGTTAGAGAGAGTATATATCATTTGATACGGCCAAAACGAGCCTCATGAAAATAACGGTTTTAGATCCTAGGTCTTTTTGGACCAAATCCGCTTCAGGACATTTGGAGTCGATCTTGCGATGTCCGTCTGTCTGTCTGTATGGCTGGTGAGCACGATAACTCCCGAAGGGAGTATCCGATTTGGTCCAAACGTGGTACATCGTAATATTTTTGTCAAGCTTAGATCGAGTTCCAAGATGGGTCGGTTCACACCTTCTGGTACCTCCCCCACAAAAGGTCGAAATTTTCAAAGAAAATATTTTACTGCACAGGAATAGAAAGGATAATCCAATTTTTCTCCAACTTTGCAAATGCTAATGTTTGCATCAATGCTAGATCAGGTGCGGAAATGGACAATGTCAAGTATCTGCCCCACAAAGGGTCAACATTTGAATAATTATAACTCTTACAAAATGTGAAGTAAGAGTCCGATTGTCTTTAAATTACAAACATCACAATATTTTCTTTAACCCAAGGTCTGGTGTTAAGATGGAATACATCGGTCCACTCTTTCTGGTACCTCCCCCACAAAGTGTCAAAATTTTGAAAAAATATATTTTTTGCACAGAAAGGGGAACGATAATCCGATTTTGCGCCAACTTTGCAAATCGAAATATTTGTATCTGTGCTAGATCAGGAGCGAAAATGGACAATATCGGTCCACTCTATCAAGTACCTCCCCCACAAAGGGTCATAATTTTGAATAATTACAACTCTTATAAAATGTGATGTGAGTGTCCGATTGTCTTCAAATTACAAACATCACAATATTTTTGTTAGCCCAAGGTCTGGTGTTAAGATGGAATACATCGGTCCACTCCCTCTGGTACCTCTCCCATAAAGGGTCAAAATTTTAAATAACCATGAAGCTCATAAAACGCGAAATTAACATCCGAGTCCATTCGGACTTTGCTAATTTCAATATTTCTATGGAGCTAAGATCTGTTATAAAGATGGTAGAGATCGGACCATTTCTTCTGGTACCTCCCCCACAAAGGGTCAAAGTTTTGAATAACCCAAACGATTATTAAATCCGAAATTAGCATCTGATTCTCTTTTTAATTTACACATCCCATTATTTCTACTAACATAAGATCTGCTGTGAAGATGGATGTATCGGTCATCTCCTTCTGGTATCTCCCCCACAAAGGGTTAAAATTTGGAATAAGCATGAAGCTCATAAAACGCGAAATTGACATCCGACTCCATTCAGACTTGGCACATCTCAATATTTCTATCAACACAAGATCTGTTATAAATATGGTAGAGATTGGACCATTCTTTCTGGTACCTCCCTCAAAGTTTCGAATAACCAAAACGATTATTAAATCCAAAATAAGCATCCGGTTCTCTTCAAACAGGGTGAGATAAAAAAACTGCAAAAAAGTCAAACGCCATAATTTTTACATTTTTTTTTAAATTTTATTGAATGAAAGCAAAAAATGATGGAAATAGCATCACATTTTTGAATAAGTTTAGATTTGTTCGAATTGGTCACCTTTGGCACGAATTATGGCCTTCAAACGGCCAATGAAACCGTCACAAGCTACCCGAATATTTCTCTGCGGCATTTTGTCCCATTTCCAACAAAATGCTTGCTTGAGGTGGTCGACACTTTGGTATTTTTTAGTGCCAACCTTGCTTTCAAAATACTCCAGACACAATAGTCCAACGGATTGGTATCCGGAGATTTTGGTATCCATTGTGCACTGGAAATGAAGCGAGGAGCCTCATTTGCGATGGTGGAATGTCCAAGATCTGTGTCCAAAATGTTTGCGTACCCAAGACTTTAATACACCCTGCAGAATATTTTCGCGATAATATTCGGCATTTATTCTGATGCCACGGTCGATTAATACGAGCGGAGAGCGACCATCGACGACCTTTCACATTTAAATGCTGGAGAGCTCTAACGATAGCCACTTGCGGTTTTTCTCATTCTCATCAAAATGCTTTTGTACGGCCATGGTTCAGTAATTCATCAAAAGGTCCTTAGATCATTCTCTTTTTTCCTCTTCAGTTTAATCCATGGCTCTTCAGGCTTCAACTTAAAACGTGACTCTTTAGTTCACCCATCTTCCATGGCTCCCTAGATAAAAATACGGTCCTTTCGATCAACTATATTTCTCCAGCCCAACCATGGTTCTCACGATCAACCACAATTCTCTACTTCATTTGTGATTTTTTTAATCACCAAAATTATTTTTAATTAGCTCAAGTGTTAAATAGTTCGCCAATTTTTTCCAGGTTTAACCATTATTATATACTTCACCCATGGTTCCGGAAGACGTCTCAGTTTATCATTCAATTTTTTTCATATTTAGGAAGAACCCATTTACAACTTAATATTTTACGCCCCATTTTCTTTGTGTCTCTACGCCGGCATAGCTTTCCATTTTTTTTTGTTTATTTGTAACTGTATCGTAGAAAAAAATTTCGAACTAACATTTTGTATTTTTTCTGTTTAATTTTTAAGTAATAATTGGTAAAATCCTTCTACCTATCCGCGGCATAATCTAAGCTAACTTTAACTAATTACAATTTTTTCGTCTTCCTCAAATAAATAAAAAATAGGTACACCAACTGCCCCCCGAAAAACTAAAACAACGCGAAGTTGTTCATATTGATATTGCCAATGATCCCGTTACGCCTGCGGATTATAAACCTGATGAAGATCCAACAAAGTAAGTCAATGAATTTGGTGACTGGATACAGCCATTAATACATTTCTCCTTTTTCGCTAGGTTCAAATCAGAGAAAACCGGTCGCGGTCCCTTGGTTGGTGCCGACTGGAAGAAGAAGGTCGATCCAGTCATGACATGTTATAAACTGGTCACTTGTGAATTCAAATGGTTCGGTCTACAATCGAGAATAGAAAATTTCATTCAAAAATCGGAACGACGATTATTTACAAACTTCCATCGGTAGGTATACGAATGAAGTGAAAATAACATTCTCAAAAACGAAAAATAAGTGAAATTAAATGTAGAAAGTGTAATCGGAAAAGTGTAAATATATACGAATGCTTTTGATAAACCAAACGCCGCCATATGTTCTGCCTGTGGAAATGGCGGGTACAGCTGTTGTTGTGCTATACAATTTGATGATCCGCTATGACGAAACACTCTCTTATGATGAGGAGGAATAATGTCTCAGCGTCTTTGCTACTGGCAACAAAAGTGATATCGGACTGCTTGAATCACCTTTGCTTGCGTCCTTGCCTGGCTTCAGCAGCGGAATCATCCTGTCCATTTTCCACACATAGAAAACTATTGGGGTTGCTAATGACAGGTTGAGGAGCTCATTTAGATACTCAATTCCCGGTTCATCCAGTTGATCCTCCTTCACCATAGAGGAGATTCCAATGACTTTGTGTTTTCGATGACATGTGCAACATTTTCCATCGTAAATTCATGTTACCGGAATGGCCCTTGGACAACAGAAACAAGCTGTAACAGCAGCTGCGTGTTGCTTTCTGTCAATCAGGTTCTATCTCTAAATTTTAAAATTCAGTTATCTTCATAGTAGCCAAAGATCTCAGCTGTAGTCTGTAGCTGTAGGTTTGTCAGGCCAATTCAAGAGATGAGACATGGCACATCTCAATATTTCTATCAACACAGAATATGTTATAAATACGGTAGGGATCGGATCATTTCTTCTGGTACCTCCCCCTCAAAGGTTCAATATTTTAAATAACCAAAACGACCATATAATTCGAAATAAGCATCCAGTTCTCTTCAAATTTCAAACATTTCCCTTAGCCTTGATATGATTATGTAATTAATTGGAATTTATGATTTCGTATAAATTTTAGATTTTCTTTAAATTCTGCACATACCAATATTTTTATACCCTGCACCATACATAGTATGGAGGGTATATTAAGTTCGTCATTCCGTTTGTAACTTATCGAAATAATGATTTAAGATATAAGTGTATATATTCTTCATCAGCGTAAAATTCTAAGCCCTGCCCTTTAGCCCTGCAGGCAGGTCAAGTTCGAAGATGGGCTATATCGGTCCACAATATAGTATAGGCCCCATATAAAGGTACTTTCCGATATTCGGTATTTTGATGATTTTAGCCCCATTTTTCTATGGAATTGTCTGAAATTCCATACAAGGAGTTCTTTATAAGTACTTTATCTCCTGAAAGAGAATTGTCTATATAGGTCCACGATATCTTATAGCCCCCATACAACGGTACCCCCCGATATTCGGTATTTTGATTATTTAGCCACATTTTTCAACGAAATTGTTTGAAGTTCTACACAAGGAGTTGCTTCTTAGCACTTTACCCCGTGGAAGATTATTGTCTATATAGGTCCACGATATGGTATATCCCCATATAACGATACCTCCCTATATAAAAAATTGCGTATGCATGCCCACATCTTCGTATAGGCCCCATATATCAGTACCTCCCTATATTCGGTATTTTGATGATTTTAGCTCCATTATTCACCGTAGTTGTTTCAAATCTCGTATTTAGAGTTCGAAATGGGAACTGCAGTCTTCGTATAGGCTCCATATATCAGTACCTCCGTATATTCGGTATTTTGATGATTTTAGGTACATTATTCACCGGATTGTTTTTTTTTTTTGAATTTTCGTATTTGAATATTGTAATCGCTTATGACAAAAGTGGCCTATGCAGGTCCACTTCTTAGTATAGACCCCAATATAACGGCTATATTAGATATTTTGAACATTTTAACAGAATTTTTAGCGGATGTTTACCTTTTGAAAATTTCCAACTCGCACCAAATGGTGCGCCGAATAGCCGTGATGATCGGCCCGCCCGAACTTACTGCATTTTTACTTGTTATCTGTATTAGATGAAGTGGAATATATTTTCCAAAACTTTGCACATATCTCATATAAAGTGAAGGAAGTAACCAATATAGTCCAGACCTGGCACGTCGCAATATTTATATCACATTTATTTAGCCCGATACGATATGGACAATATTGGTCCACTCCTTCAAAACCTACTCCATAAAGGGTCAATAATTTGAATAATCATAATAGAAGTCAAAAATATTTAAATAATCGAACATTGGCGTATACATCTGTCGGCAAAACTGACCGATGAACTTGTTGTTACATAGCTTTGGACCATATTTTACGAATTTTAATCAGATTTTCATTTTTAATGGCAACAAGAATTTAAGGATTTTTTCAATGCGAACCAGAACTGTCAATTTAAATAGATTTTCTTTTAATATTTGTGGTAGTAATGTTTGAAATATATAACAAGTCCAGACACCAGACCTTGTAAAATTACGTATTCTTAGTACTTTAAACTATGACGAATATAAATACTATTTGGAGATTTTTTAAAAGTGGAATTATATATTTAAAGACATTTCTTTTCATGGTGCAGGGTATAAAAAATTGAAAATAATACCATGACCAAAACCATGATATTGTAAACTTTTAAAAACTTTCAAATATTCATTCCTGGACTTTAACAAATTCTCATTTTATGGAGATCCTTAACGTCTGTTAAATTTTAAATTAAATGCTATTTTTATTTTTCTCTTTCTTACAGTCAAGTATTCTGTTGGATGGATCGCTGGCACGGTCTGACAATGGAAGATATTCGTGCTATTGAAGACAAGGTCAAGGAGGAGCTCGATAAACAACGTCAAGAGGGTGAAGTGCGTGGCACCAAAGCCGATAGTGATTAGGAACAATATTAATAAATGTCGTCAAAATAAACAAAAACAAAAAAAAACCTAAAAACAAACTATATAAATATATAACAACAAAAGTAAAAAAAAAACTATACAACAACAGCAACAACACATTTAAAAGAAAGTATATGCTACAAAAGTGAAACAAAAAACAACAAATGTAAAAGAAAACAAAAGATTTAAATAAATAAATGCTGCATTAATTAAAAATCCAAAACAAATCGAAAGTCAAAAGTCGTCTTATAATAAAAAAAACCACAATAGCAATAATAATAATAATTAATTAAACATTTTTAAATGAAAAATATGTATTTTTTTCAAATATGGCACCACCAAAAAAATCAATGAAATCAAATCAACACCAATAACGATTCTACTATCACAACAATACTTACCACAACAGCATCAGCAGCAGAGCTATAGGACCTTATTACTTTCGAGACCACAAAACCAAAAAAAAAAAAGGCAACAGGACACACATAATACTGCTATATATACATACATACATGAATATTCCTATTTACCACACGCCAGGCAGAATGAAACAATCATAGCAGCAGCAGCAGTAATTACTTTTACATGGTTCGTTTGTATTTCTAGTTGTATTCTCTTCCATCCAGTTAACGAAAACAACAGCAACAACATTAACAACACCAGCAACAATTAAAAATAACAAAGGCTCTCTCTTATTTTTGTTTTGTAATTCATTTTCCTTATTTGTTTGTTGTTTGTATGTTTTTTTGATTTGTTAATTGATTTGCCTTAAAATTAATTTTTATATTTTTCCCCACCCGATTTTTTCTTCTTCTCTTTTGTAAATGTTTTTTTTTTTTTTGAGTCAGGTTTATATTATGTAATAAGTGTGTAAACAACAACAGCAAAGAATTTTTTTATATATACACTCACTCATACACACACATAGAAAGAAATATTATTATAATTATAAATACATACACATATAAATATATATATTTAAACACCAATGTTGAAATAAAAACAAAAACAAAAATAGCAATAGTTTAAGTTAATAAATACTTAACAGTACAGCAACAACAACAAAATCAACAAGATGAGATAACATACTTCTTATACAGATATATAAATATATTTACAAAGTAAAGATTAAAATAACAAAAGAGTAATAAATAAATAAATCATCCCGATCCAAAAAAAAAAACTATTTAAAGCAAAAACAGCAACACCACACCCCCCAAAATGTGTTAAATTTAATTATTTTAACAAATATTTAAACTAGAAGAAAGAGAAACTCTCCTAAATCCTCCAAAATCACACACCTCTCCTCTAAATACTATTACACGTTGTAAACATAGTGATGGGTACTACATTATTATTAAAATGATTAAAATTAATAATATTATTAAAATAATTATAATTGATTAACGTAATATTTTGTGTGGAAAAGAATAAAGATTTAGTTAAACAAATATACATATTTTGAGTTGATCATTTTGTTTAATAATTATTTTGTTTTGCAAAATGTATATGAGGGTATATTAGACTTTCGGTGATCCGGCGTTGATCACTTTTTTAAATTTTTATTACGTTTTGCCAAATGTATATGAGGGTATAATAGATTTCCAGTGTTTCTGACGGCCTTCCAAAGAAATCAACATTTCGAATACACTTATAACACAAGCATAATTTGAACATCTTCAAGTTTATTCGATAGTTCCGACTTATGGATGTTCAAAATCTACATTGTAGATCCTGATACTATGTACCTTAAAATTAAATCTGCAAATCTGAGACCTTTGTAATCCCTAAATTATAGTAACAACTGTTTCAGTTGGTCATAGGAACAACGTTTGTGTGAATATTATCATACATTGAGTGTTCTTTTCTAGATCACGAATCGAGTACCCATAACCATAGGCATGCAAGGTTTCTTGTACACTTTGCTTTGAAAATATATGGACATGTGAATTTTAAAATCCGAACAAGGCTCATTTCATAACCTCTGGGCCGAGTTGATTCGTGAACTAGATGCTATTGCATCATGAACCTTGCGATTTCTTTTGCTAAAAATCAGAATGATTTAGTCATCACATCCAGCAAAATATGGCTGGCAGAACATCTTTGAGGAATCTAATAAAAATATTTTACCCAATTTTTCTATTACTCCGGTCAACTGATAGGTGGTACCAGAAACTGGAAAAAATTAAACAATGATTCCATTTTTAAAAACCCAAGAAGCAAGGTCATTCAGGAAACGTCTTTGCGAAACCTAGCTACCATATTTATACCCTACACCACATAGTGGTAAGGGTATTATGTCGTTGTGCATTTGTTTGTAACATGGAGAAGAAAGCAAAATTGACCCATAGCTACTTTTGAGGATCTTCATAGAATCACTTTCTAAGTAGATTTATGCATGCCAGTCCGCCCGTCTGTCCATGTATTTTTGTTAACAACTGGTCGCATTTTTTATCCGATTGAGATTAAATTTTCCAAGCAATATTTTTTTTGGCCCAAGGACCAACACTATTGAAATTGGTGATGATCGGATCAAATTTAGATATAGCTCCCATATATCTTCAACCGATTTCGGGTTAACGGTATTCAAGCAAAGAAATTGTAAAACTAGTGCAATATAGTACTATATTGCAGATCCTAGAACACAACTATAATGTATAGGCTAGCGTTAAAAAGTTTTTCATGCATTTTTTTATCAAGTTCGAAGCGAGTCTTTTTCATAAATGAGTTGGAAAGAAGTCTTTTTCTTAAGCGAGCTAAAGGTTTTTATACCCTCCACCATACTATGTGTGGTATATTAACTTTGTCATCCCGTTTGTAACTCCTCGGAATACTCATGTCAGACCCAACAAAGTATATGTATTCTTAACCAGTGTAAAATTCTAAGTCGATTTAGCGATGTCTGTCTGTTATAATCACGCTTTCAAACGAATTGAGATAGAAGGCTAAAATTTGTGTATTTTGCCAGTAGGCAGTTTAAGTTCGTATATAACGGTACCTAACCATACTCGGTATTTTAATGTTTTAGCGACATTTACCGGAATAGTTTCAAATTTCGTGTTTGAAGATCTTAATGGGTATCACAACCAATGACAGAAAAAATACATATGCAGACCCACGTCCATGTATAGCCACCATATAACGGTACCTCCCAATAATTGGGATTTGTATTTAAAGTTCGCAATACGTAGTGTCAAGCTATGACAGAAAATTGTCAAGTCTTTGTATAAGCCCCAGTTCCTTCCAAATAGCGGAGGGTATTAAAAGCTTAGCTGTTTTTATTTAAAAAACATACCACATTATACCAGCTTAAGAGGAGGTCTTTCATAGATGAGCTTGCCTTTTTTCATAGGTGCATTGTAAGACATCATTTTTTAATGTCTTCCAAGAAAGTCTTTTTAAAGACGAGTTTCTATTCTAGAAACTTTTTCGTAGACGAGATTGAAGGGAGTTCTTTTTAAAGTCGCGATTATGACCTTGAGGCGTACTTGAAAGAAGTATTTTTTTTAATGCGAGCTGAACAGAAGTCTTTTCATAGACGAACTGGAAGAAGTTTTCTAGATCTTTTCAAGGCAGCTTTTATAGACAAACTTGTTGGGTGAGCCTGAAAGGAGTCTTTCATACACCAGCCCGATGGCAGTACTTTCTCAGAAGATCTACCAACTCTGAAATTATAGATAAAATATTTACAAGGTAAAATATAAAATATTTTAAAGGTAAAATATAAAATATTTTAAAGGTAAAATATTTACAAAGGTCAAATCGATTAAATGTGCAAAATATAACTCTGAAGATAGAGTCTTTTTGTTTTCTTTGTTTGGCACATTTTTTCACAATCGGCCCAATTACGAAGCCGTCGCTTCGATTCAAAAATGGTATTACGATAAGGCATCGAAGCGAAATCGATAGTTAAAAAATTGGCAACACTTCATTGTTGTTGACAAAAAAGATAAAAAAAATTGTTTGCAGCAGCGAGTGCTAAAAAAAATCTTTTAGATTTTTAAATTACTTCAGAATTAACAAGGACTGCTTTCAGCATGTGCTTATAGAGATTTCGCCAAGCACTTCAATCTTTTTGAAATTTTTCCAGTGGTAGGTATTTTTACCCTGATACCGGGAAACTATATATATTTTCTTGGAGGACGGACCCGGGACCCCAGGTTTTTGACTCGAAAGTATGGGTTCAAGACCCAGATCCACCTACCCAATATATACAATATAGGTATCGCCCAAGAAAATACCTATCCAACAAATGGTCACATGATGGGGTTATTTAAAGCAAATCGGAAGTTATAGTCAAATAATGGATTTTTTAGACCCGGATTTTTTTCAAAAAAATTGATGCCAAAGAGCTGACACTCTTACCTTTCCAAGATGCTGTAATTTTTGCTAATACCTTTTCTGGGTCCAGAGATATTCTCTTCAGTGTGATAGGTGTTATATGTATTTTCATAAGCTTTCATACAATACCTATATCGGGTAAGTGGATCCGGGTCTCGAACCCGGAAGTGGAGTCCCGGGTCCGTCCCAAAAAAAAAAAATACTTTCTCGGAATCAGGTTAGAACTACCTATGGAAAAAAATGTAATTTTTAGCGCTAGGATCTTATTAGACCAGTGTCGGAAATGACTTCAATATTTCCTGTATTTTGAACTTTAATTTCAACATTTTTATACCCTCCACCATACTATGGAGGGTATATTAACTTTGTCATTCCGTTTGTAAATACTCATGTCCGACCCAACAAAGTATATATATTCTTGATCAGCGTAAAATTCTAAGTCGATTTAGCGATGTCCGTCTGTCTGTCTGTCCGTCTGTTGTAATCACGCTATCTTTCGAATGAATTGAGATAGATAGCTAAAATTTTGCACACATGTTTATTTTTCCAGTAGGCAGGTTAAGTTCGTAAATGGGCCGTTTTCATATAGCCCCCATATAACGGTACCTCCCTATATTCGGTATTTTGATGATTTTAGCGACATTATTAACCGGAATTGTTTCAAATTTGGTATTTGAAGTTCCAAATGGATACTACCCCCTAAGACAGAAAATTGTTTGTGCAGGTCCACGTCTTCGTATAGCCCCCATATAACGGTACCTCCCTATATTCGGTATTTTGATGATTTTAGCGTCATTATTCACGGGAATTGTTTCAAAATTGGTATTTGAAGTTCGTTATGGGAACTACAGTCTGTGAGAGAAAACTGTCTGTTCGGGTCCAGGTCTTCGTATAGGCCCCATATATCAGTACCTCCCTATATTCGGTATTTTTAAAATTTTAACAGAATTTTTTAAGGATTTTATTTTTTTGAAAATTTTCAAATTCTTTGCAAATTGTGGAGGGTATTAAAAGTCCGGCCCGGCCGAACTTACTGCTTTTTAACTTGTCGAAATTACTTTTAACATTATTGAAAGCAATACTCTTTTTTAAGAACCTTCAAAAAACGACTAGTTCTTCAATTTTTTTTGTTTGAAATCATGAAGGAAACGTCGGTTATCATAATAGAAATTTTTACACTCTTGCAGTTCTGGGACCGAACATATACTTTTCATTCGAGATTTACATTTTTCCTGATTTTTTTAAATTTCATTTAATGTTTGTATTTTCAATGTTGTTAGGGCTCAAGAGCTCAAGAATGATTTGTTGAGATCGAAAATGAAAAATTATTGTTCTCTTAGAAAAATTTGTGTGGGTAATTAAGCTTGAATCAACGATAGAGGAGAGCGGCTCGTGTACCATGCGAACTTGGTATTAGATTTTTTTAACGCCAAAAAATATTGTAATCCAATGTGGACTTACATATTCCAAATTAGATGTCGAACTTCGTAATTTTTTTTAAGAGGAACTCAAAATACCATATTTTATTATGATTTCGTTTAAAATGTGGTATAAGGGTTATAATAAATACCAAAAACTACCACCCGGTTTTAAAAGTCGGTTACATAAGCAAAAAAGTGGACATCAGGTGTTGGATTTTGTAAGGGGTTTAAATATATACAACTGGAATCCCAAACTACGGCCAATTCCGTAATAATAATATGTGGGTCGGCCAATAGCATATCCAGAAATGTAATTCAACTTGGAAGGAAATAAGAAAATACAACTCTGAGTCTTATTTTGTCAAGTAGTATGCAACAGTTGGTATTGATTATTCACAAATGTTTTTCACAAATTGTGGAA